GGCGTTTAAAAAACACGCGCTAAGCCAACTCTTCGGGTTTCTTTTGTTTTTTGGGCTGTCTTTTTCCACAGTTGTGAAGTAACCAGACTGGGTTTAGACTGAACGCCACGAAACCTAAATTTTTATTTTTTTGGGGGGGTATATTTTAACGTCAGAGCAACAAAAACAAACAAAAAAAGGAGATTGGCCGTTTTGTAAACAGATATTGCAGTGTATATATATATGTATAAAGATGAGCTCCGAAACTCTAGAGCTCCCTCTACTGGAATTTCGCTTGAGGGACCATGCTAGACGTGAAGAGCATCAGGTTTTGTTCCGGCAACGTTCAGTAAGAAAAAAAGGTCGAATCTCATGTTAATATCCAGTTATAGACGATTGCGAGGACAGTCGTTTACAGACATGAGACTTCTTTTTTTCCCCAGTTCTGCCAGTTGTCACCAGATGCTCTGCCAGATGTCTTTTCCCCCAGCTCTCGCGGGGCGTGTGTGGCACTGGTGTGTGAGACATTTAAGGGTGTCGTCGGGGTCCTGGAGTATTGGAGACGCGCCCAAGTCACGATAGTGGTTGCCCTGCGTGTCTTGCGTGAAAGTCGTGCAAGGAGCGAAGAACTTCGCTGTATAATAAAGTTTAAAGATCCCATGTTGCTCTTCTGAAGAGTAAGGTCTTTAAATCGGTAATCGAGGCTAAATTCCTGGATTTAACCTTAACTTCCCCCTTCAGTTCAACTGAAGAAGCGGTTTCTCAGTCCTCCTCCGCCTCGCCGATCTGCTGTGCAGTGGGGTTCCTGGTCCAGAATGGCCACATGCTCGGTCACACAAGCTGCCCTTCAGTGGTGACCAAGGGGAGACCCCTCCTGTCTGTAAAGCAATTTTGGATGGAGGGGGGTATATAAATTAAGGACTCTTTGTTGGACCTCCATTATTATACTACACTTAAACATCAATGGCCGTGGTACACATACAAGAGGCATCTGTACTTTCAAGTATGCAAACATCAATACATTCCAGGCCTAGAATGGAGCAGGGCAAACTAACCTTAAAACACAAGGTACAAAATGGAAAACACAAATGATGCACTGACATGATTTGCCACTTGTGGCTGTTTCTCCAGGAAAAGACGCTGGGTCACAAGGACATTTCCCACAGAAGTTTGATACAGGCTTTTAACTGGGTGGGGGGAAAAAA